GTTTACCTTTATTTTGTTTTGTCTATAAAGAAGTTTTACCTTTCTCAAGGTGTGTTTCTGGAGTACATTGTACTAGTACAAAATCTACCTATATTAAAGTGTGTTGAGAAAGTTTAAAATTAAACTTTTACCTTTATTTATGGTGTGTCAATGAAGAAGTAATTTTACTGATCTTCATATAGATGAAGAAGTACTTTTACATTTATTTAGTTGCGACTATTAATAAACCTTTTATCTATGATAAGTATTGTCTATGAAGAAGTACATTTACCTTTATTAATTTAGATGTACCTTAACAAATATTGCTTTTATGCAATAACTATATTCAGGTTTGTCTATGAAGAAGTACTTTTATCTATGTTTAAGAGTGCCAATGAAGAAGTACTTTTACCTATATTTACCGGTAGTGGTTTCTAGGAAGACATAATGAAGACCTTATATGATATTTTAACACCCATAAATTTCTGTAATAGTTATCCCATGAGGGACCCCGATGGCTGGAGGCCAGAGGGTGATCTTACACTGACACACCAAGCCCGAGTGGGATAATTATTTTGCATCCTGAGCTCTTCTAGACTATATGAAGAAAAAAAAAACATTTACGCTTCATAACATCTAGTTCAGAATGCAATACAATAATTATAATATACTTTATATATAACTATATAGTATATACCCTTTATGAGCCCCAGATACAATGTTTAAATATGTTAAATTAACAGTGAGTTTGTATGCAATCGTCCTGGTGTAGGGGTATGCATCGTGGCTTCACATGCTTAAGGTCTTGAGTTCGAATCCCAGCATAGACAGTAGAAATTTAGTGGAATGTTTTCTACATAAATTTTGAAAATTAGTCATTATTCCGAATAAATATTTTAAGTTTTATTGTGTGTTCAACATTCCCACCAAAATGTTACAGAACAAAAGAAAGCATGCAGAACAAAAAAGCCCAAGGTAGGGTAATCTGGTAGGGGTGATACCACTCAGATCACCCCCTGTGAGAACAAAGGAGTTGGGATGTTATTTAAGTTTTACTTAAAGCATGAGGTTCTGCTCTATAATTCACACATCAATCATTACAAAACTTTTACATAGTTTTACAAGTTGTAAGCAAGGAAAAAAAGTGATGTTCCAATTTAACTAAGTTATGCTTTAGGTCTTGATCTCTTTCTTTTTTCCACTCAAACTTCGATCCCAAGCTATTTGATATAAGTTACTTAAGTTCAGTTTAAAGACCTCTTTCTACCACTGGACATTTTTCTCAAAGTAATTTTATGAAGCAAATCTTAAATACTACCGGTACTCTCAAACTTACCTGAACTTGAACCAAATTCATGACCCTGACCTTATGATTTATTCTAATATGAAATTATGCATTTATACTTTACAGTCTCAATAAAACAGAGCACTATTTCAAATTCTTTTATGATAAATATTTTATCAACCGTTGATGTGAATAGAACCATATATATGAAACAGCGCCTAATTACGTAAAAGAAATTCCATCTTTACCAATATCTGTCTTAGTTTAAAACCAATAAGTCAACAATTTGAATTGTTAAAAAAAAAAAATGTTTGTTAGTTATATAAGGAATGGTAATTTAAACATGGTAGCACATTAACCTTTTTCCCAGTTAAAAATCGCTGATGTTAGCAGGATGACTCACTGCCTTATAATTACAGCAGAAGTAATACAATCAATGGCTCAACATGCCAGAAACAGAAGCTTTATATAATCTTGTGTGATTTCGATCAGCTGCTCTCCATGCTTCAGAATCCAATTGTTTATCTTCTATAATTCACTTGAAGTCATGTCTGCATGCATATATACTGAATAAAGCTTACAGTTATCATAAATATAAAATAATGTTTCTGAATATCATGCATATATTTTTCTTTTTGAAAAACCCTTACCTAGATTCCACCCAAAGGTAATAAAATAGTAATAAAATAGTGATATATCATTAGTATTTCAACCAAAAATCAAACAATTGGTATACATGTATCAATCTGTTAGTATAATGTCTTCTACATGATTTGGTATATATATAACATATTTAACTTGATATATATAGATCAGTAGAATATTTAGGGATTCAAAATCTTTTTTTTTTTTCTTAGTAGAAAAAAATCATGTAGATATGTTTCAATGTCCATATTAAAGAGAGCATTACTTGGTCAGTTCATTAAGGAATATTAGTCGTTCAGTGGAAATTAATTTTTTTTTAAAGTCAGAAATTTTATCAAACATGAAATTAGATTGGTATTTTTCCAGTGTGTTTATAAACCCATGATAGATACCAAGATTAAAATTTTGTATGCCAGACGTGCGTTTTATTCACAAAGAAATAAAAGTGACACTGGAATAAAAAAGGTTAAAAGGGACAAATAAAGTACAAAGTATCTAAAGTGATTGAAACCTGTTCTACAATCTGATCAAATGATATGAACATCTTGTAGAAACCATCTCATTACCGTGCAGAACTACAACCATTTTCAATAACCAAATCAGCATGATTTTTCTTGTTGATTCCTTTCTTAGCCCATTGGCAGTAATTTTCACTCGAGAATTTCCAATATCTGTTCATTTACTTATTTAATGAAGTAAAGAAAATGTCATTTTCTGTTAGTAATTTGGCAAAGTATCGGGTTTGACTTGTGTTTTGGTGACAGGCAGGCTTAGCTTTGGGTGAGTTACAACAAATTGTAGAATGACAAACTGTAAGTTTAGACTTTAAAAGAGAAAAATGTTTATTTTAAACTAATGTCTTGAGGGTATTTGTTAAAATGTTTTACAATGTAACTACACTTAACCTTTGTCAGCTGCAGGTCTGAATTTAAACGGTGCAATTATAACAGTTGTTGTTTTAAGAAAAAAGCCTATACGATTGATTATTTAAGCTTTAGTTGAGGAAAATTGAGGGTAAATAATAATATCATAAAAATAGTTTAGAACTTGAAGGTTTTCCAAGCCATTCCTAAACTGAATTTTTTCTTCTTCTCTATATGTAAAAGGAAAGAAAAGGGAAATTGTATTTATAAATTTTCGCTTTATGCTAAAAAAAAAAAGGTAATTAAAGACATGAAAAAATGACATGATCTAGTTTAAATATTTAACCAGACAATGCCTTATTTAGCTACTTATTTCATCAGTAAAAATTGCAGTTAAAATTTCCCTGTAAACCTTAATGGTATCTTGCAACAAGAACTAACAGTTGATATTAAATTTTCACTGGTAATGTCTTCTAGTAAAGAAAACATTATTTTGTAAAACAGAGACCTGACCTTTCTGATATATAAACATTCTACATCAGGAAGTAATGAATCATTCAGAATCGCTGCTTAATAAATCTTACTGAGTTAGACATTTTAATGTAGATCAATGGTAGACATAATGTAACTTGTTTATATCAATGTGTATGAATTCATAGTTATTCCTAACTGTAAGACAATAGGATTTTCATATTGAGTAAATCATGTTATTTTAGCTAAAACATGGTTGTGGTAGAGAAAATTTTGAGTGACTAGTGTATTTGATTCTGTATTCTTTTGGGAATCTTTTTGTTTGATTAACAGCCAAGTTTGATGATGCCAGTGAATAATTCTTGGTTTTTTTCTTTTCATTATTATATTTTATGTAGTTAAGAAAGAGGGATAAGAAGTCTTGAATAAGATCGTCAAAATGTTTCATATTTTGTCTTATAATACCATTTTATTGTCTCCCCTGTTGCAGAATATACGACATAATATAGGATGCTAACATGGATAAGTGATCAAAGTTATTTCTTCTTTATGTCTGTTTCTCTAATACTTATTATAAGCAGCTTAGAATGTCTACTATGTTTAGTGTATCCAATAATAGTAAGGTGTACATGTCCCTCTTGCAGGGTTTATCTATCCTTGACACTATTTTCATGGATCATTGATATTATTAGGTTTATGTTGATTACTGTAGCTTAAAGACTCAATCATCATCAGTTAACAAGCAGACATGTAAGTTACCATAAAGAATTGGTCTTTGCTTGTATTGTTGAGGATCATACATTTGACCTGCACATGTATGCTCCCATTTTGTCTTTTTGGTTAGTTTTTATAAAAAAAAAATGAATCCAAATGATACCACTATATGTGATGAAGAAGTGGGTGGATGATAAAAGTGTTACAATACAATACATGTGTATCAAGTTACTTATAATCCAAATTACATGTGTTTGTTCTGAAAAATATTATGTATTAAAGTGTTTATGGAGGTGGATGCAGAGCTTATATGAAAGATAGTTTGCAACTTATTCATTAGCTAAAAATAAAAAAAAATAGGATTTACTACTGCTGCTAGAACACTTCCTGTTGTCAATACTATGTAAAATAACAAAGGGATATTTCATGCATTATCAATTTAATGTCACATCACTTTTTTTCACGATCTGGGGTTAGTTTTGGGATGGAAAATAAGTTAACAATTGTAGCCATTTTTAGCTGCATTATAAAAACAATATTAGGTCAATGCCAGAAAATATCAAATCAATAAACCTCACCCTTCCCAAGTTTCTTACCCTCGCACAAAAAGTTGTTTTTCTGACATTGAGCTAATATTGTATATTTGATATGATGTATTTACAGATCAGTTGAGTTTTGTTCCTTATAACAGTACCTATAAAACATTTGTTGTGCTACTTCATGCCCTTTTCCCCTTGAAATCCTGACCATGTCGTTGTTTCTTTCTTAAACATATTTTATGAAGTTTTTTTTTTTTTTTACATTAAATGCCCTTTTTAATTTTTTTACATATTATACAAAATATCCTTTTGTATGAAACTAACAATCAGGTATTTCCTCTGGTTTTTTTTTTACTGGACAACAAGGAAATGTAGGCTTAGCAAAAACATTATGAATGAAAATAAATATTAAACACAGTTGTCTAATCACTAACCAAAACTGACCGATATAAACCTCTGGCATATAGTGAAATATAATTTGAAATATTATTTTTGTCATTTCAGAACCAGGATGAGCTGAATGTAAAAGATGATCGTTATTTTGTCCTCACCTTTGTCTTATGTGGATGTATTGCTGGCATACTATTGGCTGTTGTGGTCATTTACCTGATCCGACGTCACTCTCGTTCAAAAGAAAAATTAGCCCAGCTTGCATCTGTATCTGAAGGAACAGAAGCTTCAAAAGACTATCAGGTAATACTGGAATCATACAGTTAACTTTAGAGTTGACTGATGCTTTTCAGCATGTGCTGTAATTTCTTCTTCATGATAATTATATACTTTTGCCACTTTTTTGTCATTCTTACTTAGAAAATGCATTGCATAAAGTATATAGATTTAGGAGAGGAGTGAATTGTAGTTAATGCTTTCTGGAGGAAAGACAATGATGTTAGTCTATAGTTTACTGTCCCAAATTGAGTTTACCTAGTGGTGCATAATGGAGCAAGTTAACTAGATATTTTTGACAGTAAAATCAATATATATGTCTGCAAAACTCAAATACAGCAATTTTTTTTATTTGGGTCTCAAATAGTATGAGTTTTTTTTCAAAATGTTGATAAATTTGTGATGTACCTTAAACATTACAGAACCAACATGACATCATTTGAACACTTTCTTTATAAAAACATTGACATGACATTTTACACTTTTATAAAAAAAAAGTAGTCCACAGTAGGCAGTTTCCAATGTACATGATTGGGAGTATTCAGTATTTGGCTTCATCCAAGTTTTCCCTTAGTAATAACCAATCTACTATGAAGTAGATTGAAATATATACTCTGTATGTTAGCCTGAACATTATAACAGTCCAACCTAGAACATTTAAGTTCTTGACTAAGACATTCAACACCTCAACCAACTGAGAACCTTTCAAGTATGAAAATAATTGATGTCTCTGAGAAGGACATTTTAAGTTCATTCGTTATAGTCATTGTACAAGTACTTAAAGTACACATAGTCCATAATCATATTAAAGTCACCATTGTTATTAAATAATATCATTAACAATATTAACATGTAAATGGTTGTACCTATGTTGGCATGCTGGTCATGTACTTGATACAATCATATGCAATACAATGGCCTAATGATTTTTCAGTAGATATGTGTAGAATTATTACATCATTGCCTTTTTATGTATTGGTAGCGGAACTTGTCCATCATGTGCGAGTCCCAAGAGACAAAGTAATTATCAGTTAATGTGATTCTGCTGTCACGGCCAGATTCTTAGGAAAGTAATTGCTTGGCTCATTCAATAACAGGCTTAGTCTCCTAATTGATTTGCATTGGTAAGATGTGTTCTCACCCTGACAAGAAAGTGAAAAGAATGAAATGTTATTGACCTGTATTGTTATGATAAAAGAATAATGTGTGATGGAATCATAAAATCTTAACTTGGTGTAGTAAAAGGTTTCAAATGGCTTGTAGACAAGAGTTAGTATTGATGGAAAGGCTAATATCCATGGTGCTTTTGAAACATATGCAACTCAGAGGCTAACCCAGGAAATGTATTCATTGCTTTTTAGTGGTGAAGTTTTACTTAAAACCACTTAATATTTTTTTGCATATTTGGTAGTGAGAGGAATAAATTACTTTTGATTTATTATGATAGGATTTTTTTGTACAAGGTGAAAGTAAATTGCCAGGATGTTTTCTTTGAATATCACCAGATTTTTTTTACATCATTTTTAGACCCTGTTTATTATAGAACTTTTAATTTTCCAAGACATAAATGCAATGGTCCTTTCCACTGTTACTTACATTAATAAATTCTACATGTTATGCTGTTTTATCCTTGTAGTGTGGAGTTTATATTGAAATTGGAAGAAATGTGTAAAATAAATATTGCTTTTTAATTGTGTTTGAAGCATTAACCTTTCATGCATGCATTTTCTACATGAATAAATAGAAAAATGTAGCTTTAAATGTACAAAATGATTAAACAGAAAAATCTATTCTCTCATGTTATGTGAAATGAAAAATTTATCAGGTGTAGTTATTCTGCATGTTTGATTCAATACATGCATTTCCAATTCAAAGTTTTAGATTTATCTGTAATAATAGAGTGAATCGGATCTGAGGCGTACAGAATGAATTTGTTTCCGTTAACTTATTGATTGGGTTTTAGCATATTTAGTTAGTTTTGTCATTGACAATCCGTTGAACCAGAAATGTAGTGTTATTTGCATCAATCCTAGGTTTACGGAAGTGATGTAGCAATTGGAAGGTTGGTTTCCGTTCATTCTTCATTGATCTGTCTGTATAATCATATCTCAGATGATCATATCTTTTGTTTGCAGCTTATTTCTTTATTTTTAACAGCTGAATAATCTAAACAAAGCTTCATTGTTTTTATGATTGAATTCAACTTATTATTTCGCAATCCACATAACATTTATTTGATTTGTTAACTTCTCCTACACCAGGAGGGTATGATTTAGTAATTTGGTTTAACTTTAGATTTATGTTTCATATGTCTATGTGTCTGATTTATATTTCTACTGGCTATAGTATTCATCTTTTATCTCTAAATCAGTTCCATGCAATAAAAACATCCACTTCCAAATACCTGCAGACAGTTAATCATTGACACAATAATCCATAATAAAATGGTAACTGTCTTTTGTAGGACCTATGTCGCCAGCGTATGCAGAGTAAGTCATCAGAGAAGCCTGAGCCACTTCATGCAGCCTCCAGAATTGGTAGTGTGTCAGAGACCCAGGTCAGAAGTCCATCCAGTCGAAGTAGTACATCATCCTGGTATGTTTTACAGCTTTAATACTATCCATTCAATTAAAGGAATCAAACTAACATTTGATTGCTTTTACTTTATACATTTGTACCATGTACCTGTACCTAGTACCCTATATCCTTTCAATTATATATCCCTTAGTGATACCAGGAGGTATAAAGAGTTCATCTGTTCATTTATTTGTTTCTCCTTCAATTGAAGATTAAAGCCAAGTATTATGTGTAAAATGAAAAAATCTTCAATCAGCTTTTTAGCTCACCTGACCTGAAAGGTCAAGTGAGCTTTTCTCATCACTTTGCGTCCGTCGTCCGTCGTCCGTCGTCCGTAAACTTTTACAAAAATCTTCTCCTCTGAAACTACTGGGCCTAATTTGACCAAACTTGGCCACAATCATCATTGGGGTATCTAGTTTAAAAAATGTGTCCGATGACCCGGCCAACCAACCAAGATGGCCGCCATGGCTAAAAATAGAACATAGGGGTAAAATGTAGATTTTGGCATATATCTCTGAAACCAAAGCATTTAGAGCAAATCTGACATGGGGTAAAATTGTTCATTAGGTCAAGATCTATCTGCCCTGAAATTTTCAGACCAATCAGGCAACCCGTTGTTGGGTTGCTGCCCCTGAATTGGCAATTTTAAGAAAATTTTGCAGCTTTTGGTTATTATCTTGAATATTATTATAGATAGAGATAAACTGTAAACAGCAATAATGTACAGCAAAGTTAGATCTACAAATAAGGCAACATGACCAAAATTGTCAATTGACCCCTTAAGGAGTTATTGCCCTTTATAGTCAATTTTTTACAATTTTCATAAATTTTGTAAATTTTTGTAAATTTTTACAAAGTATTTTCCACTGTAATTACCGGGCCAAGTTCATTATAGATAGAGATAGTAGTAAGGAGCAAGAATGTTCAGTAAAGTAAGATCTACAAACACATCACCATCACCAAAACACAATTTTGTCATGAATCCATCTGTGTCCTTTGTTTAATATGCACATAGACCAAGGTGAGCGACACAGGCTCTTTAGAGCCTCTAGTTTAGAATCTGTTGAATGAATTGCAGTCAAATATATCATTTCTGTACCTTATAGTGAAGTTGTGTTCCTCTTCTATTTTGTTTCTATGTATGAGTGCCTTCCTTTAAGATGAGATGTAAGTTAGGAGGCATTTGGAATGTGTCAAAAAGAAAAATATTTCTTTATCTTATTTCAGAGAATAATTCTTTTTAGATATTTACTAAATGTTATTGTCTAGAAATAATTCCTTCATTCTGTCATGTTTAATTATAAGTACATTTATATTGAACGCAAGAGTTACCTTTCTTTGTGACAAGAAAACTCAAAAGATACAGAAAGCTGTTAAAGAAAAAAAAAAATTATAAATTTTATATATACATGTATCTCTGAATATTCATAATTATTTTAATAAAACAATCATAAGATTTTGTACTGCTTTATATTTTGGCCAAATAAGGGCCTGGACACTTATTCTTTGTGTTTTTGAAAGAAACACAAATATAAAAGAGTAGATGTATGATTACCAATGAGACAACTTTCCACCAGAGATCAAAGATTTAGAAGTTAGCAACTATAGGTCTCATATAGCCTTCAACAATGAGCAAAAGGCATACCACATAGCAAACTATAAAAGGCCATGACATGACAAATGTAAAACAATTTAAACAAGAAAGCTAACGGCCTGATTTATGTAAACAAAAAAAGCAGAAAAAGTACATTTAAATGTGTTGCCAAACAACATTACCAGTTCTTGATCAACAATAAATCTGAAGTGTAAAAACAAGTTGTGACATGTATGACCATTTTGAATTTAGTTTTCTGTTTTATCTTGATAACAGAGCCTGAGAGGATTCCTTATTGATAGTTTTTCTCTATTTTTTGTAATAAGAAATTTTCTCTGTTGTTTTAAATGCTCCATCAAGCATTAAATTGAGAAATTATGTCTAAAAACAGTTTAATATTGCCTGGCACAATACTCAACAGATTCTTTGTGATGCTGTAAAAAGTCAAGTATTTCTTCTAAAATAACAATTTGTGTTGTCATCATTGATGGATGGTAATTGATGAATTATTGATTTGTATTCCTTGTTGCTGATATTCTATAATGAAAGGAAATTTAAATTTGAAATATTGCTTGAAAAGATTATTATATCTATTGAACAAAGGATGCTACTAAGTATCAGTTCTTTTGTTATTTACATATTAAATGAACATATGAATTCTTTAGTTTTTATAAGTTATAATTAAGAAATGATTGATTGGTTGTTATTTGTTTAATGTCTATTGGAATTAAGAATGGAAGAAAGAAGATTTATTTTAACTATAACTGATAAATTCTTTCTCAAAGTAGAATTAAAAAAAGATCAATGTGTTTTAGTATCTTAGCTTGATGTTTGGTGTCATCATTTTATTCATAAAATGCATATGTATATGGGATAAAAGCAATGGTTTTATTTAAAGAGAACAACTATTCATCACAACTCTTTTTATTTTATTATTTAAATAAGGGTCAACATAAGCTTAATCCAAAATATTGGTAATACCTCTAAGAGTTCACATAAAAGTCATTGACCTTTTCACCTTATTGTTCTGTTTGCTTGTTAGTTTTTAGAGTGGATTAATGGACATGTTGATTCCATGTTTACATTTGATTGTATGCTGTGTGAAAGATTTATTCTGTATTTTCTTTAAAGGCCATTTAAAATGAATATTTTATTACAGAGACAGCTAATGAGTAAAAAATTCTTTTAAAAAAGGAAGACATCAGAATTATTTTATTTTAATTTTTGATATAAGCCTTTTCTTTTGGAAAATAAATATAAAAGTATTTTAAAAGACAACTCTTATGTGTTTTTACTTTCTGAAAAAAAAGGCATGAATTTGCCATAATATAGAGAACACAAAGAAATAGGATTGACAACTATTCTATAAAATATCACCATACTGATTTAGCAATACAGATATTATTAGTCCTACTCATGGAGTGGGTTTTATACTGCAATCACCTGGTCAGTTCATCCATATTAGTATCTGACCATTTTTCCATCTGTAGTCTTCTTTCATGTTTCTAAACATTTGTATGAGAAGTGAATTTGACATATTGGGCTGGAATTATATAATGTTTAGATGAACAATGGAAATGAGTTCTGATATAACCAGCTGCAAATCCTGTTTGTTAATACTTTGAACTTTTATTTTACCCACTTAATGTGGAATTTTTAGTAATATATTACTCAGTTTCCAAATTAAAGAAGGATATGGTTATGTTCAGTTTTATTGTGTTGGTGATTTTCAGGCATACTAGGTAGTCACTTCCTCTTCGATTATATCGGGAATTTTTATACTGCCCACTTAACTTTATGTTTTATTATGTTTTATAATTGTTGTTGTTGGTTGCTTGCTTAATGTCCAGTGGCATATATTTCATGCACTGTCAGTTTTATACAGTCAAGGAACACATTGCACAACATTACATGCAACTTCTTGTTAGTTTTTTAATTGGGAAGTAGGAACACAAGTGCTCTTCACTGAACAAATTGAAAGGAAAAAAGATGTAATCAAGAAAGAGCATTATCAAAAATCGTATATTGCTGTACATTAATGCCTTAATTTCAAAATAGTTTCCAATTATTGTAGAAAAGTTTATCACCAGAGTACACTTCCCCACTTCATTAGTTTTGCCTAAAATTTGATTTTCTTCAAATTATAATGCTTTAATGAAATTTGTGATATAAATGTCAAATACAATGATATTAGTTCTAAGAACTTGTTTGTGAAAAGCAAGATTTTATTGTTTTCTTGGGAAATGCCTTGTCATTAAAAATAATCCTTCTCTTTGTGGAAAATGTGAGCTGGTTTCATTTCTTTCCTGGGAATTAAGATTACAACTTGAAACTATTGTAAAACGATATGATTCACGAATTTTCGATTATTTATACTTCCTGTTTTGAAATAATTTACCAAGTTTTCATGATACTTCAGTGTTTAGAATTTTTTTTTTTAATTAAAACCACACAAACATTGTTTTAATGCATATAATACACAGTCAGTTATCCAGTGACATTCAGTACATTTTAATCAAAATAATAGATATGAAAAGTTTTATTGTTTGTTTTTTAAATTAGTAAAAACAACATTTTGATAGATAAATTGCATCATGCATCTATAAATTACTTCCATCAGTGCTTTCATTTTCTTAATATCAATCCATGACATTTTTTCATATATTAAAACTTGACTTGTGAAATACAATTTTAATATTTTATTTGAAATGTCAATATCAGATTTTTAATAGTTTGGTGATTGGCTTTAGGCTAATTATGAATGTTAGGTATATTTTATCTATTTGTAATGAAATAATTCTAAAGCAACAGCTGAAATTGACAAGGAATTTTATGATTTTGACACCACCATAAAAGCAGCATGTGTGAACTAGAAACTGTAATGTGAATTATTGACAAACTTTTGAATGGGAAATAAATGCAGTCATCAAAATTTTATAGTAAATAATCAATTGGTGATACCATATATTGATATTCATGGCTGAATGAAAATTGTGGAGTTTAATATTACAATCTAAAGTTCAGATAAATTCTTTGTGATTACGTGTGATTTAATGTAATAATTACCTTGATTGCTAAACCATGAAAATTTGTTTACTTTTACCTGGTGCTTTATTATAAAACTATGCAAATTAACAAAGATGTGAAAGTGTTGGAGATAAGATACAGAATTATTTACAAAAGTTGACTATAATTATGTTCATGTTGAGTAGATTTTGTGAACAAAAATGAAACAGCTAGGGTTCCTGTGATTTAATTTACATTGAAACTAGATATGATTGAATTGTCTTTCTTGAAGGATGTGTAAGAAATAGATTAGTCTGATGGAAGTACAGAAGCTTCTAAACACTTGTTATTTGACGATAACTTCATTTTGGCATTATGCATCTGATTGCAAAGCTTGTTATGTTTAAGTAATTTGATTGCAACATGCATCGATCCAAGAGTGTGGCTTCGTCCTTCTGGTCGGACAATTGTGACAGTTACTTGGACACATTTACACACATAAAACGATGGTCAATAGATTACACAAATGTTCAGCCATGTTGTTCTACTGAAAAACTTGTGTTTAATCATTATAGGAGCGAGGAACCAGTGACCTCAAACATGGACATCTCTACAGGACATATTGTTTTGGTAAGTTAGTGTAGAAAATGGGAGAAAAATCTCATCTAGCAATTAGAATGTACACATTCACATGATCTACATCTTAACACATTAGACCTCAACTAAATCTTTCTATATACCCTGTATATGAATTTATATTGCAAAAGGAAACTGCATTAGAATTTGTGTACACCATATATTTTCCATAAGGCATGATATAGGATTAATTCTGATTCTGAAAGTTTAAGGGAAAAGAAACAGTTGTTTATTTTCTATGAATGACAGCAAGTGAACGTGCATGAGAAGTCTGGTATAGAATGTGACCAAAGTTGTAGACCAAGTCTAAACAATACACAACAACATGTTTTCTTGCATTTTCTATCCTATCTGCTTTTTAAAACAATTTGAGTATTTACAGCATACATTAAAATTTTCAAATATTTATGGTTTGGTAGGGGACAGAATTTTCTGTGGATAGTGACTTGTGAAAAATGATAATGTCTTAACATAAAATATGAAATCTATACACACTGTTAAGTAAATTTGTATAGAAGTGGAGACCTTGTTCTAGGCATATCTCTGAAACTTGACACATGGTACCATATGTTTATAACGAAAATGTCAGCCCTTTTTAACCTTTTTCCTATGAATATTGAATGAAGAAGAAATTGAAAAGGTGAATGATTAGAAATAATTATTATTTAATGAATAACTATTGATTCAATAGTCTTACATGGAGGACCATTTGAAGAACAAGGACCGATTGGACAGAGAGTGGGAGGCTTTGTGTTCTTATGAAGCTGACCCTGCCAGTACAAAGGTGGCTAGTGACTCTGCTAACTCAAGAAAAAATAGATACAGTGACATATTACCATGTAAGCATTTCTTCACTTGAAAAAAATAACTACAGGGTAGAAACTAATGATCTACTGCCAACTTTATGTGTATTTATTGTAATGTTGTATTGATTTATGTCCCTTTCTTAACCATTTGCTTTTTTTTTTTTACAAGAAAAGAGGGGTCAGATTGGTCTATAATTTAAATATCTCTGTTTTTATAACCTGTATTAACAAACTTAACAGATATGTTTCTTCAAAGGTTTAGTACAAGCATTGTTACTTTGGTGCCATTCTGAAACTCAAAATGGCCACCCCAGAGCCTGTATGGCAAAATGAGTCTAGCCATGGCACAATCCAAGTTTTATATGAAGTCAAGAGTATCATTGTGTGTTCTCACATGCAGTTTATTTTAAAAACTTTTGAATAAAATTACTATCAATATTCAATAGAACATTATTTGTGTAGTTAAACATGAAAATAAGTTTTAAAAAATTATAGTCATGCACTTAAAAGTAAAGTTTGTGATAAAGTGATTATTGATCTGTATTCATTCATGAATATAAATGTGAAAAGTTTTGATGGTTAATACACCCTTTTAAACACCCAGGTAATACCTCATTCCACATGCTACATTTCACACTAATACAATTTCAATGATTCTTGTTGCATGCAAGTTTTGTGTCCTCTTGCATTGTATAATCCTTGTATTGTTTGTTTGAACAGGGTTGTCTGTTTATTTGTATACATGATCATTACATGTCAGCAATGCTATATGTGTGCTAGGTTATCTTACTCTGAGTAAGTTTATAGTGATGCATGATGTATTCAAAATCAAGAACACTCAAAACTTTTTATTTTATAACGTAAACATTTTAAAAATCAACCAAGTAAAAATATATTTGTAGATGTTCCTAAAAGTCTTAACTGTTAAGGAGGCCTTTTGTCTTCCATCTGTTCCATATTATGTGTTGGTATTTGATATATATCACAAAACTCAGCATCACTCTTCATAAGGTTTCAGACGACTTTCTTGTACTTTTTTTTTTTTTTATGCCCAACCTACGATAGTAGAGAGGCATTATGTTTTTCGGATTGTTCGTTCGTTTGTTCGTTCGTTCGTTCGTCCATTCATTCGTCTGTCCGTTCGTCTGTCTGTCCCGCTTCAGGTTAAAGTTTTTGGTCAAGGTAGTTATTGATGAAGTTGAAATCCATTCAACTTGAAACTTAGTACACATGTTCCCTATGATATGGTCTTTCTAATTTTAATGCCAAATTAGAGTTTTGACCCCAATTTCACGGTCCACTGAACATCTCTGGCCTTTGATAGTCTTGTATGTTTTTAAATTTTAGTTTATTTATATGTTTTGGAGTTTAGTATGACGCCCATTTTCACTGAACTAGTACAAATTTTTATTTAGGGGCCAGCTGAAGCCTGCCTCCGGGTGCTGGATTTTCTTGCTGTGTTGAAGACTTATTGGTGGCCTTCGGCTGTTTTCTGCTCTTTGGTCGGGTTGTTGTCTCTTTAACACATTCCCCATTTCCATTCTCAATTTTACTATATATAAAATAATTTTTTACAGTAAATTGTGAATCAGCCAAGTTTGCTACTGTATTCACATGATAAGATTTTTTTAAGATTTTATCATAAACCAAGTTAATAACCTTTCTTTTGAATATAATGGCATGAACCATCTTGTATCACCCCATTTAAAACCTACATTTTCTATGTGTCTTTCTCAAAATTAAAAATTAAAAAACAAAATGAGATTATTTCATAACTTTTTTTGTTTAATTTTCCTGTTTCTAAATGAAGATTATATTACTTGAACATTTTCCATTGATGATTTACGTATTCTAATTTTTCCAGAATATTTAATTTTGTTTCCTAATAGATCATTTAACATGGTTTAGATATTAGTTTAGTAACTAGGATGAATTGTAGGAGTTAATATTAATCTACTGATGAATTATTTATTTTAGAAATAACATCCTAGCTACTGTTATGGATAGTTGTGAAGGAACTTGGACTACATTTTAGTCAATATTGTTCATTCACTTCCTTATAAAAATTATCTGATGAGACAGTTCATCTGCATACATCATCTTCATTGTTAAAGTTCAGCCACCAGAATGTATTGTAATTAGAAGGCTGAGATGATTTTTTATTGATAATTTAGAGATTTCATTAAATTTGTTTTTAACATTTTTTGTACAAAGAACTTGTACTATAAATTGCCATGAATCAATAAACCTATCCAATTAATGGGACTGGTAATTTACCACATGGTTTAAAACATCCCAGAAACTAGAAGCCATATAGCATTAGACTGCACTCCTTTTTCCACACTTTTAAATGATGAATAAAAGATATTTCAGTTTCACACAAGTCTTTTTTCATACATATGAATTTTTGAAATGCAGCCGGTCTCATGAAATACAATAGGAAAACAGGGACAAATACAGTAGCTTTAACTTTCTTTTTTTTTTAATCAATTTTCATAAATGTTTAGATTTAAAAAGTTGAAATAGAAAAGGGATGAGAATCACAGAGTTGAGGTACCCAAAGTGAACCTCTTTGGGTTTTATGAAACCATATCTTTCTGCATAGTAAATGTTTTTTTGTTTGTTAAATCAGTTAATTATGTCTACCTGTGTCCTCAGGTATTTAGACAGGTGTTGGAGGTAACTCTTGTACTTTTTTTATACTTTAATTCTGTTAACTCCTATAGATAGAGTTGTCAGTACATGTACCTCTTTAATCTGTTAGATCTCCAAACACGTAACTGCTGTTTTATGCCCTTTTATATCCAAATTGTTTTCTTGTGAAAGTCAGATGCTCTTGGGGAATGGACTCTTCCCCCTTCTGGTTTTGTGTGTTTTGTACACAATTTCATTAAAAAAATATCTGTAGTAGTTCAACTTATTTCACTCTACTTGTGTTCTTGTTCTTATCCATACAATCTTTATACATGCTTCCCCTTACCCTTATTTTTCCACAAGGCAGAAAAGATCAAAAAATATTGTACAACTGCTTGCCTCTGACACATGTAATGCACCATATTTCTATTATATCTTTTAAATTATAACATGTAAATTTTACATTCAGCATTATTGGGTAAAAATGATTCTATTGTTTATGGACCAAAGTATTCTAATAATAAAAGTAGAATAAATTTCTAATAATGAAAGATATTCATTCAGATGGATATGTTTTCATTATCTCAGTGTTTAATATTATGCAGTGTCAGGTTTTTCTGTCAGTCCTAGTTAAAATATCCCTTATAAACAGAAAGCCTTAATAATGAGAGTTATGAATTGATGTAGAAAATGGTCTTGTATAGATTTATTGAGGTTTGGATTAGCAGCTGCTGACCAGAAAGGGTATAGTTACAGTGTAGATAATTACATACTGGTCAGTATTATTACTCTAATTGACTGAGGCATAGATGAAAGTTTATTATTATTTTTCACCTGACTAGGTGTTTATCAAACATAATAATATGGGAGAAAACTGCCATATTCATTCCAGCTTCACTATAGTATATTACATTATTCAGTGGTCAGTTACATAATATTCTGGTAGCTCACAACACAAATGAAAAGGGATAGAAATACAAAATGTATCATTATTTTCTAATCAAAGGATAGGACTATTTATACATTAAGTAATATAGGTTTTTTTCTGTAATTAGAGATATATGTCTTTTGGCTTAATTTGCTCAATAAAACTGTAGGCTTCAGGAGTTGTCACATATTGTGTAGAGTTGTGATAACACTCCCATATGTTATACTTATTTATATGATAAGGTTCCAGGAAGCTCGAGTTAAAAATATAGTCACAAGATACATATGTATTTCAAACAATTGACTACTTTACTGAGATGTTCTTAAGGCCATATTAAATTTTTATTATACTCTGATGTCAAACATTTAATGTTTATAGACATTGTTTGAAACAAGACCATGATAAGATTGTGTTCCATGTCCCTAATGGATGACATGTATAGTCTACAAAACAAATATTATCTTGAATATCTAACTATTAAAATTGTTTTTTTTTCTATCTTTGAAGTTAACAAATAGTAGTAAAATGAGGAAGCTTTACAATTTTATTATTTCATATTACAAATGTTCTTATGAAGTTAAGGATTTCATGATATTTTTCCAAGAACTGCCTTCAGGTTTAATTTGTATTTTATGAATTATCTTATAGTCTAACAGAATATTTAAGGTCCTTTAGGTTCTTTTTATATTTTGCTTTTTTTGGGAATTATTTTTTAAATATCAACTTTTTGCCATAAGATTAAATGAATTAAAGAAAAATATCTGGTGATCACGTCATACAAGAAGACAATTCTTTTTATTAATTGTAGGCTTTTTTGCAGGTTTTTTCTTGAAGATATCAAAATAAAACAATTAACCTTTTCACCAAAGGATTATTTTTTTTAATTTGAATTGATAATCAGAATTATGCAGCCTGTTTTAAACACTGATATATAAACTATATGCAACCTTTAGTTTTTTTGTTAATCTAAATGATGAAAAAGGTTTTGATTTTTCAAAATGTTATCGAATGCATGAGAAAGCTGCAACAAAAATATGTCGGTATTCCAATATGGAAACATGATTTTTCCCTGCAACTTAGCCATAGAAACAAATTCGTTACATTTAAATTGGTTAACTAATTTTATACAGGCCAAAAAATGAAAAAAAAAAAAGATTTTTTTTTAAAAGAATTCATGAAATATTTTTGTTCAGAACAGAGATATCTATTATAAACAAATGTGTATTACTCCAGACATTGATAGAAGTTGGCATTGCATAACATGTTAAAAATCCATATTTTATGGAAAACTCAATTCCTCTTTAAAATGTCAAACAGAATTAAAAGTAGGATGCACAATGATAATTAACATAGTTAACAGATTGTGTGAACTTAATCAGAATATACCACTCAACAAAGCATTGATAAACACATATCCAATATTGATGGAATATATGTCTGGGGATCAGCTGCTAATGTTGAGTGTTAAACAGCTATGACAACTGTGATCAAGCTGTGATACACCTGTACAGGTATGACAGGTGGACACTAATTACCTATTAACCATTGTAATTATAGATGACCACTCCAGAGTAGTGCTGTCTAATGCCAGTAATATCACCAGCTCTGACTATGTCAATGCTAGCAGTATTGTAAGTTACATCTATTTTTATTTCATTTATTCCTGCTTTATAAGAAATCATAAACATTTTAAAGAGCTTTTTAAATAAGGCAAAATTCAAGCTAACAAAAAAAATAAAAAAAATATGTATTGTTTTGCTTTACAGATGACCCTGTTCAACTGTAGATTGAAAAAATTTTGAGGACATTTTTTATTAACTAAATAAAAGGGCATAAATTGAAAATCAGTATTATCGTGGAATTTGTTTCCAGAAATTATTGAAAAATTGAAACCTTAACTGTACATTCAAATGCATATACTTTAGAAAGAGTATCTTATGATAGGACATTATAATAATGATAGTTAATATAACTTGATTGTAGACTGACCATGATCCTAGAAATCCAGCCTATATCGCTACACAGGGACCTCTGCCTCATACAGTGGCTGACTTCTGGCAGGTTTGTAAACCTTTCTTTACTGTTTGGTGATACAAGCTAGTTTTATGATTATAATCATGTGTACTTAAACAGGTTACAAAGTTCTTTCATCAAACTTTTGATTAAAGTTATTTTGAAAGATTAATAGTATAAAATTTAATATTGCTCTTTGTTCTAGGGCAATAAGTAATTTTATTATTTTCCATGCGCTATTTCCCAATTCTTTATAGTCAGCTTTCCAGCTGCATGGGTAATGATAAATGAATGAAAATATATTTGAAAAGCATTTTCTACCCATGGGCAAGTTTAGGACAATTTTTGCAATTTCCAAACGGTAAAAAATCAACTGATAAATTTAAAAAAAAAATTGTGAACCTTTGATCCATTCTGTCAGCCTGATCTGTAATAATTGAAGGTGCCTTAATTCCAATCTATATGCATCAAAAGTGTTAGAATATCAAATTATTTAATAAAACAGAGACAGGTTAATCAGCACATGCCTAATGGTTACATATACAAGTCAAAAGAACATCAGGAAGCACTAGTGCAATGAAACAGGTCACTTGCAAAGGATTCAGCGTTCTCTTTTATAACTATCTGTTGAAGTCCAGGCTTAATTTTTCCATAACTTTTATCAGTAAATTGTAATTAGAATGATTGTTCTGTCTTTTAAAGATTTTTTTTCAGCTAAGGTCTATTAATTTGTTCTGTTATTATCCCAGGTTACATGTGTTCCAAAAACATAATTTTCTGCATGATCAATCATCAAAGATGTCAACAAACTATGAACATGCTATTCTGATGGTTATTCAAACAAACTGATTGACCTAGTATTAATTAAGGACACTCATTTTGATGCACAATAAAAACATAACAATTTGAATATTACCAAGTCCTTTTCATCTTAGTTTAAAAAAAATTGTGAGCAGGAATTATAACAGGACTGATAAATTGCCTCGACTTTAATATTTAGGTAGAATCTGTGAACAGCAAAAATGATCAGTAATACAAGATGTACAATATGACAATATGACTGAAATCTTGGGATAACTCCTTATAGGAGTTGTTGCCCTTAAATGAAGATTTTTTTTAACTTTTTTTAGTTTTTGTCATTTATCTCGTAAAATATAATAGAAAAGAAGAAACTTAAAAAGCAAAATTGATCATCAATACAATATATACAAGAAAGCCAAATACGACCAAATCCATTGGATGACTTCATATGAGTGATTGTCATAAATTGACTATTTTTTTTTAGTTTTCCTTATTATTTCATTTTTTTTTTTTTTGACAATTCAGACTTTTAATATATTAATATTTGTATTGCAGATGGTATGGGAACAAGGCAGTGTGATAATTGTTATGTTATCAAAATTAACTGAAAATGGTGAAGCTATGTGCCACCGATACTGGCCAGAGGAAGGCAGTGACCTGTATCATATATATGAGGTATGTTTAAAAAATGGCTTCTCTAAATGACTGAAATAATAGGCATAACAGTCACTAAGCATTGTTATAGGATATGTCTTTAAATATCTATGGTTTCAATTGTTAAAATAAATTACAATACGTTTAATAGAAATTAATCTTGCTGTAAAGAATGTCGAAAACTTCTCCAGATGAAGAAAAAAAAACGAAATTTATTATATGAACTATTACTTATAATTTGCCTTAGAAGTTCAAATTGCATCAAAGGTCTTCTGGTTAAAATGATGCCCTCTTTACCTAAATGTGACACACAACTTTGGATATGGCTTGAAATTGTGCACAGTATGTGTCAATTAAAGATTGAGAAACACCAACCCCTCTAAATACTGGGGATAATTTCAGGTGCTCTAGGAAGGTAAGCATCCTCTGCTTCAGTAATTGCACCAATTGTGTCACGCTTGTCCAAGTAAATTATGATCATAAACAAAGAAAGGATAACTTGGATAAAGTTAAGTTCAATTGCACATTTAAATACTAAAACTTTATTGTTCTGTTTTAAGTGATGTTTTTTGTTTTCACTTCAGGTTCATCTTGTGTCAGAACATATTTGGTGTGATGATTATCTGGTTCGTAGTTTCTACCTTAAGAATCTGCAAACCAATGAAACAAGGACAGTAACCCAGTTCCATTTCCTGACCTGGCCAGATTTGGGTGTGCCCAGTTCAATTAAAGCTCTCTTGGATTTTAGAAGGTATCTCCTTCTTATCATATTTATTCAGTTAATTGTCACATTGCCATATTTAATTTTATTGTTGGTTGCGGAAGTTTGGCAATAAGCATTAATTTCTTAATTAACATAAATATATGTATATATAGATATTTAGCAATTGAGTGCATAAGGATGATCATTTTGCTACTATATTAATTGGTGGACTCATGTTTTGAGTGTGGAACTGTGGGGTGCCTCTTTGGTAAACAAATTTTGAATGCTTTACTTCTGAAGTAGTTGTTGACCTATTTGGGGGTGAAAGACTTACTGTCGCTTAATTCTGAATTCTGCATGTTGAAAGAATTGTAATGATATTTCCGAAAGAACATTTGATTTGCAGCATGGTGAATGGGTTTGTAATGCTTTGTTTTGATGAAGGTTTAGTTTTTTGTATGGTGAATTGTTTAGTAATGCTTTGTTTTGATGAAGGTTTAGTTTTTTGTATGGTGAATTGTTTAGTAATGCTTTGTTTTGATGAAGGTTTAGTTTTTTGTATGGTGAATTGTTTAGTAATGCTTTCCTTTTCTTGAAAGTTTGATTTCCTGCATAATGAAGTGATTTATAATGCTTTTTTTTCTGATGAAAATTGATTTCTCGCATTTGAAAGGGATTATTAAAGCTTTGATTTTGATGAATAATCATTACAATGCACAGTGAAGGGGTTTTGAACACTATATTCTGATAGTGTTTGTTCACCTGGTGAAGGGATTCATAATGTTTTTTGTTCTAATGAACAGTTAATTACCAACATGCTAAAGGGATTTCTGATGTACATATCTGATGGGTTGGATTTTTGCAAAATGACTGGTTTTGTAATGCTAAGCAATTGTTCATTTGACTGCTTCTTGAGGGATTTGTGATGTTTTATTTGAAATCAAAGTTTGGTTGCTTGCATGATGATTGGCCTTGAAATGCTTTATTTTTGAAGAAGTTTTGGTTTCCTGCATGGTAAAGGATTTGTAATGCTATATATCTGATGAAGGTTTGATTGCTTACATGGTGATTGGATTAATAATGCTTTATTTCTGATGAAAGTTTAATTTTGTGCATGGCGAAGGATTAATAATGCTTTATTTCTGTAACAAATTTGATTTCTTGCATGGTGAAGGAATTTGATTGTTTTATTTCTGATGGCAGTTTTATTTTCTGCATGGTAATGGGCTGTGTAATGTTAATAAAAGTAACAGGTGATTTTCCTGCATGGTGAAGGGATTTGAATTTTTTATTTGTGATGAAAAACTTAACTTCTTGTTTGGTGAAGGAATTTGATTGTTTTATTTGTGATGAAAGATTTGACTTCCTGCATGGTGAAGGAATTTTATTGATTTATTTGTGGTGGAAGATTTGACTTCCTGCTTGGTGAAGGGATTTATAATGCTTTATTTCTGATGAAGTTTTCATTGCCTGCATGGTGATTGGTGTTGACCAGTATTTAGAAGATATAACCACTGCTTAGTAGAACCACTAATCTCACTATCAGTTTCTGAGGGAGCTTTTGTGATTTAGCAATTGTAAATTGACAAATTGCATAGTCACAAAAGTGATCTGGGATCTGAGTTAACCTCACTAACACTTCACTGTAGACTAGCTTTGGAATGCTTCACAGATTTGTTGGGTTAGTTTCATTAACATTTTCACTTTAATACTGCTTGATACAGATGGGGGTATTTTTCAGTGTTGCTTAGCTTGATATTTAATGGTGCAGTTGGAGTCACTTTCACATGTGTTGCAGCATAATGTTTGGTATTAACATTTTCTGTATATCAATTAAGCCTGATTTTTAGTGATGGAATTTTTGGATATTATTAGGTTTTTTTGCCACAATTGTAGATTAACATGTGATATTGTAGGGTAGGGAAATACTACTTTACTTGTTGATGAAATTCACATTTATTTTTGGGGTAAGATTGATTTTGATGAATGCTATCAGTACCTCAGGGTTCAGGTCAACATTTTGAGTGTTTGATTGTTATGGCATTGGGTTTAGAAATAAAATGATGTAAAAGTCAAATGAACTCTGATGGGTTTTGCAATAAACTTTTAGAGTCATTTTGTTAACTACAATGCATGTATAGGGGGTAAAGGTTGACTTTGAATCCAGAAAATCATGTTTGGGATAGATAAAAATTCAATTTATATGAAACAAGATTCATGCTTGGATCAGGGATATAGATTGTATTATATGGATTACCTGACATTAAAACTGAAAGCGTTTGTGAAAATATCCTTTTTGTTAAGCCTGCAACATTTTATAGTGGAACCGACTGCAAGGTTCATTTTCAGTCTGTGGTTTAAGTACAGTTTAAAGTTGGTATCTGCTGCTTTCTTCATAGCAGTCTGTATTTAGGAGTACAAGCAAAAATAAGTCAGATCAAGAGTCTGAAAAATGTGTCTAAGAGGGCTGAAATGTCTTCTTGCTGACTGTTACCTTGTAAGCTAACTACTTAGAAACATAACACAGCCTTTCTTTCTAGTACAAAAAGGGGATATTCATATCCCATTCCCATTTTACGGTCCTGAATATGTATGTAATATTTGCCTCTGACATTTAGCATAAAAAGTGAATACTTCAAATCTCTGTATCATTGGTTTCAATTCAACTTTCTTTGTATCACTAGTTTATCTTTCATATTTCTTTATATCACTGGTTTACACTTCGACTTTCTTTGAATCACTGGTTTAGATTTAAACTTTCTTTGTATCAATGGTTTACACTTCAACTTTCTTAGTTTCACTGGTTTACACTGCAACTTTCTTTGCATCACTGGTTTATTATGCAACTTTCTTTGAATCACTGGTTTACACTACAACATTATTTGAATCACTTGTTTAGATTTCAACTTTATTTGTATCACTGGTTTACACTTCAACTTTCTTAGTTTCATTGGTTTACACTGCAACTTTCTTTGTATCACTGGTTTACACTTCAACTTTCTTTGTATCACTGGTTTACACTTCAATTTTTAAAGTTTCACTGGTTTACACTGCAACTTTCTTTGTATCACTGGTTTACACTTCAACTTTCTTTGTATCACTGGTTTACACTTCAATTTTTTTAGTTTCACTGGTTTACACTTCAACTTTCTTTGAATCACTGGTTAACACTTCAACTTTCTTAGTTTCACTGGTTTACACTTCAATTTTCTTTGTTTCACTGGTTTACACTTCAACTTTCTTTGAATCACTGGTTTACACTTCAACTTTCTTAGTTTCACTGGTTTACACTGCAACTTTCTTTGTATCACTGCTTTACACTTCAACTTTCTTTGTATCACTGGTTTACACTTCAATTTTTTTAGTTTCACTGGTTTACACTTCAACTTTCTTTGAATCACTGGCTTACACTTCAACTTTCTTAGTTTCACTGGTTTACACTTCAATTTTCTTTGTTTCACTGGTTTACACTTCAACTTTCTTTGTATCACTAGTTTACTTTTCAACTTTTTTTAAATCTCTGGTTTACACTTCAACTTTCTTTGTATCACTAGTTTACCTTTCAACTTTCTTTGAATCTCTGGTTTACACTTCAACTTTCTTCGAATCACTGGTTTAGATTTCGACTTTCTTTTTTTCACTGGTTTACACTGCAATTTTTATTGTATCACTTACATTATAGCTTTACATCATTAGTGAACACTTCAAGTATCTTTGCATCAATATTGAGCTATGCAAATATCATTTTATCACTTATAAACACTTTACTATCATTTTATCACTGGTGAACACTTCACCTAGCTTTTTATCAGTAGTGAACAGTGCATTTTTATAACACTAGTGAAAACTGCAACTTTCTGTATTACTAGAGAATACTTTAAATATTTTCCTATTGCTGTAATTATTAATTTTTGTTGATTTTTTACAGAAAAGTAAACAAGTCATACAGAGGCCGTTCCTGTCCTGTAGTTGTACATTGCAGGTAAAAAATAATTTAGAATTTCTTATTTCATGGATTTTATGTCCGTTTGAAATTTACCAGAGCATCTTCATAATGAAAGTAATCTTACTTCTGTGTAGTTAAGGTAACAAGTACATTTGTGATCCATCTGAAAGGTTTTAATAAAATTTTGCAAGCATCTAGAGCAATTGGAAGTGCATTTGAATATTGAAAAAAAGTAAAATAATAAACTTTAATGCTTGTAGATAGAATTATAAATGTAAAGGATACATGTAAACATTGCACACAAAAAATGAATAGTTTGACTAACTTTACTCAAAAACTTGTCCTATAAAATTTCTTTAAAAATGATTTATCAGTAATTTGTACATTTTTCCTTTGATGTGTACTCGCTGATAATATCAGTATCAGTGGACTGGTCATAATAAAAAAATTATTGGGTCAGTTCGCAATTGACATGCGCGAGTGCACCGCGTAAGGATCTACTTTCCCTTTCATTCACAAAATCGCACATGATTTTTTTCGCAGAAACCCACGAGTTTTTTGGTGAACGAAACAGTAAAGAGTTAGATGAGCTTTTTTGAATGATTGTGTGAAAATTTTTATTATTGATAGCTTACCTTATTATCCCGGCTGAGTTTTCATTTATAAGCTTGAATGTTAAATAGTCTGGTTCTGTTCCAAGATGCTTCTGTTTCTGTTTCTTGAGAAGGTTTTGTTCAACCTGTTCAGTCACCATTAAGTGTTACAATTCATATTTAGACGCAACACATAAATAGTGACCAAAAGGGTACCGCTATCGCATGAAAGAACGGCTAAAAAACAAATAAAATAAACATATTTCGACCTCTTTTGGGGGACCATCATATAAAATTAAGGAGATGTGGTTTCATTGTCAATGTATAGATAGCTATTCATAGACCAAAGAACAAATAAGCGACCACATTCAGATGCGGATCCAAGATTTTGAAAAAGTGGATGCACGGTGGCCCCCAAACTAGACAACGTTTGGAGTGGAACAGGTAAAAAGTCTGCATTAACCATAAATGTAGCCCTATAAGGGGTGGCCAGGGCTACCTGCCCCTTCCCCCTCTAGATCCGCCTCTGAAAATACAGGTTACCGCAGAGCCTTAAATGTTTCATATTGATAATTGAGGGTCTGGGTTGAAAAATAAATTACATGACTCTGAAAAAAAACACAAAAAGCGAAAGTAAATAGACCAAAGTTGAGTTACATCTATTAAAATGTTCGGGCTCACCTGATATTTTACTCTGATAAAGTCAGTATCAAAAACAAAAAGTCCTTTATTCTATATATGTTGTTATCACTTAAATTTCCATTTGATTGAGTTTATAGATATAGAATTGATAGGCAATTCTCATATTAATTTTGGCTGTATAAACTATTCAAGTGTATCTGTTTTATCTAAAAAAAAAAAAAAAAAAAGTGTCAGAAGTTTTTTTACCTTTTTGCCCCTTTTTTCCAAGCTGTGAAGAGGATTCAGTTATTTGTACAAATAGGTTTGGTGACCCCTTCAAATGTTAAATCACTAAAAGGATAACTTCAATTCATAGGACAGGATTTCTAGAATTTAAAGTCAAAATTGCTGCTCATTTTAAGATATGTACATGTATTCTATACATTTGTACTTTGGGGAGGGTCCTCGGTGGTCAAGTGGTCTAAGGAGTTCAACTAATGTATCGCAAGACTTTCATCACTGAGATTGTGATTTCGAGTCCTGTACATGGTAGGTGTGTTTGACTCCATATTAATTGACTTAGATTGTCTGTCAGTTTTCCTACCAAAGGTTGGTGGTTCTCTCTATGCACTCTGGTTTCCTTCACCAATAAAAGCTGACGGCCACAAAATAGCCAACAGTGCTGAAAGTGGCGGTAAACCTCTACCAATCCATCAATAATTTGTTTTTCTATTTGCCTAAAATATCTATTTGAAAAGATAAAAGTTTCATATATAATTTTTTCGATATTCATATGCATTTCCTTATGATCTAGTTGCATGCAAATTTCATAAAAGTCCATTTATGTACCTGTTATTTGAAATGAAAAAGTTCATACCAATCACAAAATTAGAAATGATAATCAAACTTAATATTTTTTTAAACAGATTTAAGATTTAAGATTACATTCATCTTCTTAAACAGTAATCAAGCTAACAAGCTTTTTTTCTGTGGTTGTTGAAAACAGGATACACAAGTCCACTTACTTTTAAATCAGATACTATATTTGATATTTCTATAAAAGAAATGAAATGTTAATGAGAATTGATGCCGTCTTGTACTGGCTTGAGAATATCTTTAAGGAACCAATGTTCTTACTACATGTAGTAATAAAACAATTTGATAGAAGTATAAAAAAAAACCTACTATTTGTAAGAATTGATTCTTAATATTATGTTTATATATGCTAATTTTAACATGGATGATAACCAAATAAATGAACATAGTCATTATTTAATTGTGTATTACATGTATTATAATTTCAGTGATGGGTGTGGTAGGACCGGTACTTACTGTCTTGTAGATATGGTTCTCAATAGGATGGCTAAAGGAGCCAAAGAGATTGATATTGCTGCTACACTGGAACATATCAGGGATCAGAGGATGAACACGGTCAAAACTAAGGTAATTATAAGAATGTTTTGGGCTGTAAATCTACTATAATGGGATTTGATACACCCATAATAATCATGTAAGTATTTGTTTTTTTATTCACTTCAAAAGTGAATGTGGTATCATCAATATACACAATTTTTCACAGACTTGTGCTTGTTTACAAAATTAATGATGGATGTGCCATGAAAGAAGGAGGTATTGATAAGAGCCATGATTTGGCCCCTGGAATTGAAAAAAGAGTAAAATTATTCAAACCTTTCAAAATGATGTAGTTTTTGTTGTCTCGCTTGTAGCCAAAGCAGAATGCCAGATAAAGCGATGCTTATCAGGCAGCGAAAGCATATACTATTTGTACAAATCTATATATTTCAGAAGGTAGAAGACATGGATGCTTAATTCCTTGTATACAGATGCTTTATTTTACTAAGTATTCATCTATATATTGTAAAAAGTTCATAACCTCATTTTTATGGCTCAGCGAGTTTTTGGCTTGTGAATTTCTCACTTATTTTGAGTATTAGGATAACTATATTTAGTATTTAAGATCCTTGCAAGGTTTATGTAAAATATAAAAATAAGAAGATGTGGTATGATTGTCAATGAGACAATTATTCACCAGAGTTCAAATGAAGTGGATGAAAGTAATTATAGGCAAATGTAAGGCTTTCAACAATGAGAAAAGCCCATACCGTTTAGTCAGCTATAATGTCATCAGATAGGGTTCATTTAATGGAAAAGTTTTTGGGGTCAAGTCCGTATCTCGGATACAATAAGTGGTTTGTCAAGTATATTTGGTGTATGGATTGATTGTAAGGTTCACATGTCTGTCTGGCAGGTTTCATCTGACCTGACCTCATTTTCCAAAAAAAAAAATTGATTCTCATTATTTTACAAGTTTTTTATGTTTTTTTTTGTAGGAGCAGTTCCAGTTTGCATTGGCAGCCGTTGCTGAAGAAGTCCATGCCATTTTAAAGGCACTCCCACAGTGAAGACCTCTCTTCAATCTGATTGGATGAAAATATTGATATTATATGTACTGAATTTACATATAACATTTTGGGTGTGAATCTCATGTTGTTTAGTGTCAAATCAGAATAAACATTTTCACAAATAAAATCTAACGGAATCTTTATTCTGAGCTTTAAATCTTAATTTATATTTTCTTCTGCTCATTTTGTATACCATTTACAAATTTAATTTATTTATGTCATTTTTATTTGTTTTAAGGGATTGCCTAGGAAAATGAAGTTCCAGTTTTATGATTTTTATATGTTATATATATATATTGTAATGAAGCTATATGTGGATATCAAATTTACTCTGGCAACTGCAATCCAGAGTTTTAGGGACAACTAATGGTTTAAATAGTATTGGATTCAACAATGACATTTACAAGCAACATTTTGAAAGTATATTCATGATGTTTTTAGCATTTATTAACAAAAATAAGTCTTGTTGCCTGTATTTATGAGATATATATAGTTTAAAGACAAATTTATATATTGATGTTTATTAAATTCTATTTATATTTTATTTTGAAGAGCTATTTATTCTTTACATATTTAGTTTTTATTGTGCTGTGAAAGCAGTTGTGAATAATGTGAAATAATGTAAACAATTGTAGTTTGGCTAATAAATAATTTGGCGAATATTTAGAAGAAAGAAGAAATTATTTCTTTTTCTAATATGGATGCCTAAAATCAGAAAAACTAATTCAGTATGGACATATAACCTTGCTGACAGAGTTAATATTGAGACCATTACTAAAGTAATTTGAAGATATTCTGTCTTATTGATTTTTACATAAAACAGTACTGTTAATTTGAAGCCAAGATTTTATTGCTTTTTGGAGCTGTTTTATAGTTCAGGGGAATTAAAAGTGATGACATCATCTTATAAGAATTAATTTATTGTAACAAAACCCAACGATTTCAGACCTGTTAACCTTTGATTTGTAGAAACTTTCAGATATTTAGCTATCAGATTAACAAGAAGATTTTTTCTTTTACCTATATCAAGACCATAAAAACTATCATGGCAGATAAAATCCATGAACCAGTTATGGTATAGGCCAGTGAGTCATTAAATGTTGAGAAGGAAAAATTAAATCCAATATTGCAGCCAAAATGGCTAATTTTTATTTCAGGCTTTTGTAGTCAAATTAAAATTGAAGACTTTCTAGGGCTGATTTAAATTTTTTTTATTAAATTGAAAATCTGCATTATATGGAGTTCTTGTTCCAATTAAAATAGTTTTCATTAAAAAAAATAATAAAATTGTTTATGCACCTTATTTTCTCACCCTAAAATCTAAAGAACAGAAATCTAATCAAAATGGCTTCATACAAAAATGTGAAAATCCATACTTAAAATTTGAAAATAAAATATTTTGATTGTATTGAAACTTGACATGCATTTGCATTCTAGAAATAAAGACCGATGTCAACTTCAGAACATTTAGATTTACATTGATACCTACACCAAATAAAATAGATATATTGAGTTGATTGATTAAACTTTTATGATGATGACTTATTCTTTGTGAAGGAATTTTATACAATAGTTATTGATCTTTTATTGTCTGTTTTATAACATTTAATTAGAATTCATCAAATTTTTAGGTTTCAATAAATGTGATATTTTGTTTTACCAATGTTTTTTTAAACTTTAATTTATTATCAAGATTCAATACAAACAGTATTTCTGCAAACAACTTCTTTTATATTAAACGATTATATGTAGATCTTTTCAACTTCTTTTAATATATATATATATTGATATAATTGTAAGGTTTTGAAGAAGAAAGCAATGTTGTTTGAATCTTATTTGTCCTGTGAGGTATTTTTTTACCAACATTGACTGTCACAGATGACCAGATATAGTCTGTTTGTCATAACCAGATTGTCTTTCCTTTTGATAATCTACAACTTCATGCAAGTATACAAAAAAATACAACTTTAAAAATAATCTTGATAATAATTTTGAATCATGCAGAAATACAATGTTCAAAAATCTCTTTTGTCAGGATGTTAAAACTGCAATTTTAGATTGTTAATACTTTTGTGTGTCTTTCAATTTTATGCTGCTGTCTACAGACAATGCAGTGCCCTCTACTGAATATAGACATGTATTGAACAGCACAAAATGCTGTAATTTAGTAAACAACAAAGTTAATGGTGTTATATTTTTATCTTTGTTATTCTTTCCATGTTAAGTTATTGTTGAATTTAAAATCTTGAAAGTATATTTCAAAGACTTATGAATCAAAGATGCTTTTACCAAACTATTAAATCATGAACTTACTTTGTTCTAACTAATTATAATAATCTATATTCTTGATAAAAGAATTGTTTGTTGTAATTATATCCTTATTATTATTTGAACTATAGGTAATGAGTATAAAAGAAAACAAAGGATGTCATCAAGGTTTATTATGCAACATAATTTTTTAACTAGAAGAATAGAATAAGGTTATAAAAGTTTGCATTTTAAAGGAAGATGAATACAGATTCTAAAAGAAATGAGAAAGATTTGTATTTTATAGATAGTGGTAACCAGCCCACATCTCCATATTTATCACACTTGTTACATTTTTGTGATAAGGCTCAGAACAGCTTGTTAATTCTCTTATATATTTTATGAAGTTTTACTGTTAACAGATATATATTTTTCTTTCACTTTCTGGTGTACATCTCATATATTTATCAATAAAGGATTTGATGTAGTGCAATGTGACAAATTTTAAATTGAAACATTTGAAAGAAGAATATTTTGATGCAGTGATTGAAATAACACTGTTTACCAATTAACGCACCAGATAAGCATTTCAAGTGTGCAATTAGACATGGCTCTTGGAAAACCTTATTATTACAAGGTTAATTTGGAAAGAGCTGCTGCTTATTAAAAAAGATCCAAAGTTTAATGAAGTTTGTACTTCATCATATCCTTTTTACCATCTATGAATGTTGTACTGTTGATTGTAGTAGAGGTCAAATAAATCGTCAATGCAATCTGTACACATGTATTCTGTTGTTACTTAGAGTTGAGATGCTACAATTTTTTTTTACCATTCAATAAATTCAGAAATCAGCTATGCTAGCAATTCAAACAGCCTCCTCTGAAACAAAACAGCTATTACTTTCTGAACTCAACCCTTCATAAGCTGCAAATCATTATTGGGACATGAGCAACCAGACAACATATAATGAAAATTCAGAAAAACTCGTTATCTTTCACTTCACTGAAAGAACAAATATTAAATGTGAGAAAGATTACAAAGACTGTGTTATACAGCAATAAACAGATTTATCAAGAATATATTGGTTGTGTTTTGCAGCAGTACAAGGCAATGAAATGCATGAAATAACAATGAATTAGAAAAGACAGGTGGGAATGGATTCAAAAGGGAAGGGGGCTTTTGTAAGCCACAGGGAAAATATATGGACAATAAGCGAATTCCCAACATGCTGCTGGAATTTTCCATTTTTGGCATTCTTCTGTCATAGGTCAATCATTTGCATCCTTCTTGAACACATGAACTGTATTTGATACATTCTGCACAACAACAGATGCTACTCAAGACCTCTTGGACATTTAGCAAACAACAACAAATCGAGATAACCTCGGTCCAATTTACATACATAGGTAGTGATTCCCGCTAAGATTAGAAAAACAATTTCACTGCATTCAGGACCAAATTTATTTTTAACTTTTTTCAATTATATTAAGTACAGATATTTTTTTTTTGGGACCACCTGATATCTACAAAAGTGAGACAGTTTTGCAATCCACCACAGAAAAATTGTAAAGTTAACACATTGGTGAAAAAACACTGGGTACCATAATTCATTTTAAATTATATCGCTCGATATTGCTATTTTAAGCATCCATTATTCTTGTTGCCAATGTCCTCTGTACTTTTTTAAAATTATAGCAAACCTCTGGTGAAATGTCTCAGATGGGCCATTTCTTAATTGTTCATCGAAAATGACGGCATATTCTAAAGGCACTGGCTACGATTACGTTGAAATGTAACAATAGTAAAAAAGTAATTGTTACGTTGGACACTATTTGCTAAAATGATTTGTTGGGAAAGGAACAGATTATCTACGAACATAACAATATTTTGGACGAAAATATAAACATTTCAAAAATAAAAAATATTTTTCACCTGAAGCGTGGCAGATATTGAAAGTTGCTATAACTATAAAAGGGGATATTGCAGAGTGGAGCTGTTTAGTCTGCAAAACTGACCTGCGCACTGCTGCATCATTTGTGATGGCTACTTAGAGTGCTTCCAAAAGCTTATACTGGATGTATAGAAGCTTCCATTGTAAATAAAATTTAAAAATTGTATGCAATATTGTAGCATTGCAGTGTTTTCAAATAAAAAGTTTTAAAGTTGTATTTTACTAGTAATACATATCACTACTCCCAGCACACATTGAAGTGTATTAACGTAACAATAACACAAGGTAACTGTAGACACAAATATTATTGTTACGTTCCTAATCGGTTTCTAACCCAACTTAGCATTCCGGCAATTTGTGTCCAATGTAACAATAACTTTTTTTATTATAACTAGTATTACATTTCAATGTAATCATAGTCGGTGCCTGTTCTAAAAGCAGTCGAAATATGAAAAAAGGCGTTCTTAAAACGCCGATTGTTTCAAAAGTTTCAATTGATTCTTCCTCTATACAGTACTCTGTGTCAATAAGGAATATTATGTATTGTGGAGAAGAAGAAGAGATTTATTTCGACTAAGAATTATCAGACCTATATAAGAAATATACATGGTAAAATGCATAAACAACAATAGCAAAATGTACATAAATAAGGGACAGCGCTTTTATTACTTTTCTTCAAAAGCTTTTCTTGAATTTGTCAATAGCAATGCTAAAATAGCGCACACTCTTTAAATGGGCAGACATGTACAAGTAGGGAAAGCCACCGTGAATGCCTAGATTATAACGATTTTAACCCAAAAAAAATACAAAAGATAACGTACAAAAGGCTAGAAGCACATGAAATTATATTAATATTTAAACCCTAAAATAAAAATATGCGATAACTCGAATGTCGATTGTTTTTTCATCCATATGTTTACCTCCACTGGCTTCTGGCTAGGATGAGCACTGTTAGTTTTAGCTTTTGCTATCACTTGGCGTCTGACGTCAGTCGTCCGAAAAGTTGTTCGAATATAATTTTCTCTAAAGCTGCTCAACCAATTGAAATAAAAATTCACAAAATTTATCTTTTAGGATGTACTTTTAAATTTTCAATTCGGTCCATCAACCAACATATTTTCTAACTTTATATTAAAACCACCAGACGACTCATTGAAGTAGTTAAAGCACTTAAATGGAGTTGTTTTCACGTATAATATAGCGTTTCTCCTTATTAACTAGCCAATGCAGACTATAATGGTTAAAAAGAAACTGTAAACTACACAAATTATCAGAAATACAAGATCTACAAACATGCTAATATGACTGAAGGAGTTATATCAGTTATTTCCCTCACATTACGATTTGTTCAACAATTTAAAAATTAATGCTATTAAAAATTATAGCCCAGTAGTCATTTTTCTGTAATGTA